AATCTCCACCTCTGAATTTTGCAAACCATCTTCTGCAAGTTCTTTCATTCACACATTCCTCTCCATAAACTGAGTGAATGTTTCTAGCCGCTTCGGCTGCTGAGTTTCCTTTTCTTGAACTCAAAAGCATTATGTGCCTCAAATGATTCTTGGGTACTTCCATGCTAGCAAGGTTTTAATCAAACAAAATTTATTTTATTGTTCCCTGAAATAAAATCTGATCAGTTTAAATGCATCTAAACATAAAAAAAATAATGTTCAGCTCCATTAGACATTATAAAATACTCTTTAAATTTCGTTCATTTTAACAAAAAGTTAAAATTCGGACAGAATTTATGAGATGACCTGATACTTTCTTTTGTTAAATGAGGCAAAGAATGGCTTGCTAATTTTAACGACTGCAAAACGAAACTCACTTTACCTTTCATCAGACTTGCTATTATTAATCTTCCGGAGACGGATTCATAGTGCCTTCTCAAACCAATGTTTTCCGCTGACAAGAAATGAAAAAAATTATGTCGAATCAATAAGTCTGCCGCTAAGAATATTCGTTCCCTGTGTTAGACAATTTTTCTCGACAGAAACAATCTAACCTATTTATAAGTCTACCATTCGCCCTAGTTTTGTATACTCTTGCCAATGATCTAACCTTTATGAATGCACATAACCAGCCTTTTTGAAAAAAATCCCAATTTATTGTATCTGTCTTTAAGAACTCTGGAGACCCTTCTTACTCATCTAACAAAATCCTATCAGTCCCAAACAACTTTTCGGTAAAGTCTTTGAAGCTTTAATCAACGCCATTTTGGTTAATCACCTTATATCCCATGATCTGCTCTCAATAATTTGATTTATGGTTTCCGCTTTTGCTAAACTGTTCTACAGCTGAAGAATTCATGGCAAATTAACTGAAATTGTTTACCAAGCACTTCTCAATAACGATGAATTTATGCCGTGGCCCTAGATATCTCTAAAAGCGTTTGATAAAAAGATTTTATGCCGGCCTCCCTTTTAAGCTCAAAATTTACGGAATTTCAGGTCGATTTTTAATTAATCATTCCTGTCAAACCGTGTAATGATTATCGTCCTTATATTTTTTCTCCTCCATTTCCTTTCCCACTAACGCATGATTTCCCCAAGGCTTTATTCTGGGCCCTACTCTATTCATAATCTTCATTAACGATTTTCCCGATGTCATCAGTTCGTTTTTGACATCTATTGACGGCACTTTTTATTCTTTCCTTCCACAATAGCAAGTCTCTGGGGTATTTTTGAAAAACTAACCTAGCCGGTATTCTCGAAATTTTCTCCAATCATTTTGTAGACTGGGGCAGAACGAAATTTAATGGTTAGCTTTAATGTCTTAAAAACAAATGGGAACAAATTACTCAGTTTCAGGAAGATACCTCCCTGCCACCCATTAGAATGTCTGATATTCAACTCCACAAGAGCACCTCTTTGCGACTGCTTGGTCTCACACTGTCCGTTGACATGAAATGTAACAATTGCATTGAATCAATCGCTTCATCTACCGAAAGGAAAGTTGGTTCCCTCTCTCGCTCCAGAAAGTTTTTCAAGCCAGAGTCCATCTTTCAAATCTGTAATTCAACCGTTCGCCCTTACATGGGATACTGCTGACGTATATGATCTGGTGTCTCCGCTGTTCACCTTAAGGTGCTCGACAAGATCCAGAGACGGATTAGCAATGTAGTTGGTCCTGATCTGGCATCTCGTCTACAGTCGCTCTCTCTCACAGACGGGCCGTCGCCACCCTCTGTCTTTTTTACAAATACTTTCACTGTTACTGCTCCGACAAGCTGCTTTCGCTAGTTTCCAAACTGCATGAATTTAAGCGTGCTACTAGGCGGGCATCACGGTCCCACCCTTTCACTGTCGAAGCGATTAAATGTAGCAGTCTCTTTTATTCCAATAGCTTCATGTCTCGTACCTCTCGTCTGTGGAATTCCCTTCCTATTATTTGTTTCCCTGATAGCTTTTCAAATGTAATGTCAATCGACATCTCCAGATGCCCTGACCTATTCCCTGTCCTTCTCATCATCTTTTCCTCCATCACGCCCCTTTACTCTCGCTCCCACTCTGTAACCTCTTGCGTACTAGTGGCATTCCGCCTTCCTTGAGGTGAAATGCTTAAAAAAAATCCGGTTCTGTGCTCCTGCTATATATTTAGCAATTCTTGGAAAAAAAAATTCAAAGAAGAATCTGGAATGTTATTAGTTCTGACCTGGCATCTCGAATTCAGTCACTTTTCAACTACCGTAATATGTAGATCTCCTGTGAATTTTCTATAAATAATTTCCTGGTAATTGTTCTGATCAACTTTCCTCCATGGTGCTTAGTAATTGTTGGGGGTTTTATTACTAATCTTATTTTCTTTAGTTTCTTGTAAATAGTTTTTGTATGCATATTGTAAATACTCATTGGGGTTAACTTTTAGAATTGTTGTTTTATTCCTTCCCCCACAGACAACGAATTGTAAATATGGGGACTAGTTAGTATTTTCATGGAGACAAAAAAGGTATTATGGTGGTTGTAGTAAGAAAGGTAAATGAATGAATGTGTTGTTTTGGTGTAAGGAATATTGTTTCGTAAGATTGGGTCAGTGTTTGCGGCTTTATAAAGTTATAGTTAATTAAGAAGAAGACCGTCAAAAAAATAATTTTTTCGGCCTTGTATAAACATTTCTGTATTGTACAGAATAAATATCACTTTCCTCCATGGTACCTGGGCATTATGAATTTAAGTGCAGTACTAGATTGGCGGCAAGGTCTCATCACTTTACATCTGAATTTGATAGATTTAACCCTAAGTCTCTTGTTAAAAGTTTCTTCCGTTAAACTTTTCGTTAGTGTATGTTTCACCCGGCTTCTTGTTTTCCAATTAACTTTGATCTTGAAAATTTAAAGACAATGCCAATCCTTATCTACTATCTAAATCCCTGTTCTTTTAACTTTCTCTCATTAATAGATATTTTTTTTTATTCTCATATTCTCTAACACTCAGTATCCCCTTGCGTCTTAGTGGCTTTATGGCCTTGCTTGGTGGTGAAATGATAAAAATAAGCTAAGCAATTGTTTTAATTCTGTTATGCTTCGTGAATTTACTACAGGCTATTTAGAAATTGAATTTGGCAAATTAAGACAAGATTCTGTTGGTGCATATCTTATAACAGTACAAATGTAATTGCAATATTTAAAATTATAAAATCTAAAAAAAAAAAAGTTGAATGTTTATATTTAAGAAAACAACTTTTATCCAGGTCATAATTACTCACTATTTACATTATTCGGACTATTGTCCTCGTCTTTGTCGTTCGACAAAGGGTTAAGATTGACGTTCCAACCACCTGAAGAAGGGCAAGCGTACAACGTTGTGATAAATATAGCGACAAAGATGAGGACAATAGCCCGAATAATGTAAATAGTGTACATATATATATCATCTAGGAAATATAAACAGATACTGAAGGGTGATAAATACGGCTACAAAATGAGGACAATAGTCCGAATAATGTAAATATATAGTATACATAATACCTCATCTCAGAAATATAGAATAAAATACTGAAGGGTGATAAATATGGCAACAAAGATGAGGACAATAGTCCGAATAATGTAAATAGTGTACATAATACCTCATCTCAGAAATATAGACAGATACTGAAGGGTGAAAAAATATGGCTACAAAGATGAGGAAAATAGTCGAATAATGTAAACCATTGTGTACATAATACCTCATCTCAGAAATATAGACAGATACTGAAGGGTGATAAATATGGCTACAAAGATGAGGACAATAGTCCGAATAATGTAAATAGTGAACATAATACCTCATCTCATAAATATAGACAGATAATTACAGATAATTACTCAATATGTGGATATTTTTTGGATGAAATAGAATGCCAAATATTTGATGACCGACTAGACTTTGAAACGATGATCTCTGAAGGTATGTCATTTTTTTAAATAGTAGGTTATAGGAGAAGACTATTATATGAAAGAGGAAATATTTATTAATAAAACATTTTTTTATTTTCAAGAATATAGAAAGTTTTCTATAAATGTTTGGCTTTGTTAAATTGAAAACTTGCAGGAATTCTTTGAGAAAAAAAACAAAAACTTTGTGTTAGTTTCTTAAATACATCATTTCAATATAAAAAAAGTATCAAGAGTTTATATTGTCAAATATATTTTTCGAAATTTATGTCGAGGATTTATATTGTCAAATATACTTTTCAAAAGTTATTGTTTGTTTGATTTTCCAAAAACAAATCAAGAACCAGTAGGAAATATTTTGAAATTACTTTCAAATTTTATGAATAAAATCAAGAACTTTCTACAATTCTCTTAAACGATTCCTGTTAAGACTTACATAATATTACAATTTATCTATTTTCAAATACTGTTCAAAAAGCTACATTGAGAAAATACCATGCTTATTCATTTAGAGAGACATTGAACAGGTAATTTTTATTTTTAATTTTCCACCTTTTTACATATATTTATCCCAGCAATCCTTATTAACTTAGCCTGTTAATTTTATATTCCTGTTTATGTAAATCGTTTTTAATTATTAGCAAAACTGTGTAGTGGCAATATTTATTATCAAAATGAATTGTATTACACAACTTTATGCAGTTATGCAATTAATATAAAGAAACAGGCTCATTATTTGTTTAATATCATATAAAATGTTCTTAATCTTTGGTGATGAAAGTGATTTTATGTACTGATTTAGTAGAGTGGGTTAGTTTTGTTCTTTCTATTTAAAAGAAAGAAAAATTTATTGAAATTGAAAGATTGCTTTGCTTCCTAATAATGGGTATTGTTGCTAATTAAATAATTACGGGATATTAGTAACAATTTCCTTGCTAGAAATTGTTCTCAGAAATTGTTATTTAGTGGTTATTTGGCTGCAATTTACGTGTACACATATTAGCCCCTCAGACAAATGACCCAGTCGCATGACCATTGGGCTTGTTATAGGTATTGTAATGTTTTGTACAGATGTCGCAACGTTGGCCGTTTTATAAAGGAAAAAACATAAGAGAGATAAATATATATATATATATATATATATATATATATATAGATAGAGAGAAAGAGAGAAAAGAAAGAAAAGAAAGAGAGAGAAAGAGGAGAAAGAGAAGAGAAAGAAAAAGAAAGAGAGAAAGAAAAGAGAGAGAGACTTTGAAAGAGAAAAAATGAGAGAGAAAGAGGGATAGAAAGAGAGATAGAAAGAGAGAGAACGAGAGAGAGAAAGAGAGAAAGAAAGGGAGAAAGAGAGAGAAAGAAAGAGAGCGAGAGAAAGAAAGAAAGAAAGAAAAAAAGAGAAATAAAGTGAAAAAGAAAGAGAGAGAAAAGAAAAGAGAAAAAGAAAGAGAAAAAAAAGATCAAAGAGAGAGGATAAAAAAAAAAGAGAGAGAGAGAAAAAATAATGGGAAAGAGAGAAATAGAGATTGAGAAAAAGAGACAGAAAGAGAAAGAAAAAAGAAAGAGAAAGAGAAAATAAGTGATAAAGAGAGAGAGAGAGAGAAAGAGAGAGAGAGTGAGAGAAAGAGTGGGAAAGAAAAAAAGAAAGAAAGAAAGAAAGAAAGAGAAAATCAAAGTCTTTATACGAGCGAATCCCAAATCTTCCACAAATATTTGCGCAGCTCAATTAACCACAGTTTCGTATGTGTTCGGCATTCGTAACTCTCTGCAGTCTCCGAATCCATCCTTAACAGACTTACACAAAGTACCCAGTGAGGATCGACGTCACTATAAACGTAACGTCTTTTGATGCTACCTATTTATATGAAATATTCGGCAGCATCAGCTAAAGAGTCAAAATTGGGTTGCAGCATGTAAGGCATGAACTCAATACGTTTATTTTCGTCTTTGGTCCATTGCGAGGCTAATCATATTTCTTTGTTATCGATAAGTCAAAATGTTAGCAGTAGTTCTTAAATTCAATTTGCTATTATCAAAAGAACAACAAAAAAGAAGATCGATTTGGTTAATTTCATATCTCAGCAATTTCTATTTCATTCCAAGATCTTATGAAAGTAACAGATTTTTTGATAACCAATTCGATTCTATCCTCGCAGACATTGGCAACCGCCATAATTACTTAATAACCGATAATTAGATCAAATTGTACATATAACCGCATAATAGTCATTAAAATCTTTATTTTTTGTAAAATGACGGCGCCACAAAGACTGATCAACATGTAAATTATTGTGATGCTTATAATTACTAGTTCGCCACCTGTCACTTCATTGACGTTAAAAGGATCAAATTCAAAATGGAAATTGATTGTCCATTAAGAAGTCGACATTAATACAAAAAACATTTAGTTTAAATACAAACGGAATCGTAAAAAAAAAAAATGTTTTCAAAGGGTCGTTTTATAATCTTTTCCTGTTCTAAGAGGTTGTTGCCAAACAGAAAATAAATTAAACCTCGTCATGGAAACGTTCTTTTAACTTTAATTCAAATTTAATTTCAAAAGTTAAAGCAAAAAAAAAAAAAATTAAATATATATTTTTTTAATCAATTCAACCCAATCAAGGCGATAATGCCACTAAGAAGCAAGCGGCTACTCTGAGTGAAAGAGTATGAAAATATTTTGAAAGGAACCGGAAACGCAATCCTAAACAGGAAACAAGATATAAACATTTATTGCAGTTCCAAAAAAACGTGGAGTGGCGTGAACCGGTCGATAGGCGAACCTATTGAAGAAGAAGAAATAAAGGAGAAGGAAGGAGACGTTCTTTTAACTTTCATTCAAATTTCATTTCAAAAGTTAAAGCAAAAAAAAAAAAAGGAAGCAATCGGCTACTTGGTGTGAAAGTGAATGAAAATAATTTAAAAGGAACTGGAAACGCAATCCTGGACAGGAAACAAAATATAAACCCTTATTCCAGTTGCAAAAAACGAAGAGTTGTGTGGACTGGGCGATAGAAAAACCTATCGACACCTACTAAAGAAGAATAAATAAATAATAAATACTATTCCAATGCATAGACTGTCTTCAAAAGGATAGAGTTGATGTAGACTTATATAGAAATATATTGCTGGTATTTTTTTTACTATAAACCTGTATTTTATATATTTTCCTAGTGCATGAGAAAAATATGTTACGTTGGTGAGTTGACACCCTTGGTCAGCTACACTGTCTAAGATCCCGTATAGTGTCAAACCAACCAATCACAAGCCAGAATATATGCTCTTGCTCTTTTCTGTCGGGATCTGATTCTACCTGTAGTTTTGGCATAAAAGCCGTAGTATATTAGTACGCAAACGAAACCGTTCTACAACACCAAGGGCTTCAGTTAAGTGGACTTGTATTGTTTCATTTCAGCCGCAAACAGAACAATTTGTTTGGAACATGAACTATTTTTTCAATAGTATATGTATATATGTATTTTAATCTTATTCCTTTTAACTTTAAATTTGTTTTCCGTGTTCTTCTTATGTTGATCTTATTTGCGGCTTGAATCACCATAAGTGTTTTGTTTTCGTTTGGGGTTTCATTATTTTCCCATAGCTTGGACGCTAATAGGAGCTGCCTGGGTCAAGGGGGGCTGGGAAAGGCACAATTAAAAGGTGGTTCCGCGCTCCTCAAAAACTCCCGATCAGATGTCTTGCTGCCGGATGTAGTTCAGCGTCATACCCATGACGATAATGTAAAAGGAAAATGGTATGAATACCAGGCAGAGAGAGTGGTAGAAAATGATAGTCACAAGATATTAGAGGATTCTATTAAGTCATTACAATACGGAGGAGAGTGCAGTGAGAAGAGATGCCGCACATGAACATCAGTGAAAGTCACAAGTGCCTCTTGAGCATGTAGACGATTTCATCTCTTCACAGGTTTCTTGTCTTTAAGATTTGTGAATTGTTATGACTGTTCTTCAGAATGGGTTGCTGGCTACACCCAGTTTTGACAAGTAGCCGTTAGGTGGCGCTGTTAACCAACGATAAAAACAGGGCACTGCCTCAGTTCTTCACTCTTTATCTCTCTTTTCCTCCCAGCACCTTGTTCTTGAGCATGGCAATATCGTTCCAATTAGTGACTGAACCAGTTCACACGCATAAATACACGCGTGTATCGCCCACACATTTGCTAGCATTCGATATCGTCTTTTCATTTTCATGTATATTAATGTATTAAATCTCCTTTGTTATTCTCTCTCTCTCTCTATTTTTATAAATATATATATATATATATATATATATATATATATATATATATATATATATATAATAAAAAGGCTTAAACACTAATATTCCATGGTCATAATTTATTCCATTGGAATCGTAAATACGATCCAATTTATCAGACCTACAATTCAAAAAGAAAACAGAAAAAATAACTCCGGAAATAAAAAAAAGAATTTAGAGAGAGTGTAAGTATGAGAGTGTGGAACGAATGTTAGAACTAAAGAGAGGGGTAACAGACGAGAGAAGGTGGGAGATTAAACCTTAACAGAGAGAAGTTTTAGATAGGTGAATGGAAGAGGTTTAAGTGAGAGAAACATGAATGTTGTCGGATGTCTAATACATGAAAGATGTAAAGGAAAGGATACATTTGGTGACATACACACACCATAGACGATCTAATGTTAAAGATCAGAATAAGAGGGAGGAGAGGAAAAAAAAAAAGAAAAAGGTGGGGGGAGAGAGATGAGCGGGGGAAACTAAAACTGAAGGGCATTTACTGAAAGGGCTGCTGTGTAATTAAGAAAATTTGACAAAATTAATATCGACTACAGGTTACAAATCAAATGTAAACATATAAAAAATAAATATAACAATTGTCTAATCTAGCAAGGACCTATATTTCTATGTTCAAAAACACGTGCGAATACATACAAACACAATAACATATACACGTACATACCTACATATAGGCGTGTACCCACATACACACATACATATACCCATGTATACACATACACATATATAGACATATACACACATATACACACATACACATACATATATACACATATATATATATATATATATATATATATATACATACATACATATATACATATATATATATATATATATATATACACATATACACAAATATATATGTATATGTATATTTTACATATATGGCTTATACATATATATATATATATATATATATATATATATATATATATATAGAGATAAAAGATAAAGATATATGTACATTATTCTTTATATATTTAAAGGCGGATATTTCGGCCATGCTAATAAATATATTTGTTATAAATATTTATATATAAATGAATACAAAGACAATAAACTGAATGAACTTATATAGTTGGATGTCGACTAAAAGACAAATTTTAATTATATAAATTAAATATTGAACAAATTTGGGTGTAAGGAATGTAAAAGTGTGTCTTCTGTCTGCAAAGACTGGGTTCTTTTTTTACACATAATGTAAAGTGATTCTGAAACACGAAATGATATATAGATCGAAAAATGTTCTGGTGTCAGCAATAATTATTTGATGGACAATTTTGGAGTTGTGCCGCTGAGTACGAATGTGTGGTTTTTAAATTTTTACAGAACGCTCGATCTACATTGTTATAAAAACAATTTAAGTTCCATTTGACCCAGGTTGGAAGCACTTGTCAAAAAAAGCTATGGGCAAATAGTTAAAAATTATCCAAAACAAAAAGGGGACAAAACACTTTGAAATTATAAAAATAGTTTTAAAATACCATCAATGGATTTTTGGCAAAAAAATATTACGAGCAATACATTTTTGGAAGAAAATATTACCAGCAATATATTTTTTGAAATCGGCATTAAATAACCCATTGAGTTTGAAAAAGAAAACAAAATAAATAAATCGATGAAACAAGACTCTCAACGCAAACACTTGTAAAAATACGACAATGAAACCTGAACTACAAACTGATTTATTTACATATTATACATATTATATTCATACGAAGCTATATCAAAACTTGTCGGCATTAAATAACCCGTTGAAGTTGATATGCCGGGGGAAGGAAATAAAAAATAAATCTTATATAGATATATCCGTATATATTTATTAAACGGCATATTTATTTATTGTTCGCATGGATATTCGAGAAAAGAAATAAATATCATTTTTAATAAATAAACAGTGTCTAATCAAATACTGATATTTATGTAAATAATGTTTAACTAATAAAATAAAAATGCAGTGCAACCTCGATTCTTGAACGTTTCACATGTTGGACCAATCGGTTTTCGAACAGAAAATTCGAGATGAAAAGGCCTCGGTTATCGAACAAAATTCCGGTTCTTAAACAACATGGCCGACGCGAGTTAAGCGAGTCAACCGCCGTGTTGTATACATTTGTGTGTTGTAGAGTGTTTTTATTTTCTAGATTTATTACTGCCACTTCTTTTTCTCTACCTTGATTCCTATTGGAAAAAATAGTTTTGGTTTACGAACATTTCGGGTTACGAACAGCCTTCAGGAACGAATTCCTTTCGTGAAACGAGGTTTCACTGGGCATGAAGATATTGCCTTATTGAGAATTTTTCCATATCAATCCACATCTACTAACGATGACGGCCTTTTAATTTAAACAAGTACACTTGTGACATATAATACTTTATCT